AGGGCCAGTTTAAATGAGAAGGATGGCCTCGTCACGTGTGGGAGAGATGAGGGCAGACCACCAATATATGCTGTGGATTCGAGTTCAGGGCTGTAGCTCGGCAGTTATTGGTCACCAATTCAGCTAGAGACCCTGTTCGTGTCTCCACGTGATTCTCAGGGCCTCCCTCCACCACTCACCAAATGTATATAATATAAGTAGAATGAATCTTCTCCTGAAACATGGAACCATACACCGCCATACGCTGTCTTTTGTGCATTTGGTGAGTAGTGGAGCAGGCCCCACTGGACCTATTCGTAAGAAAACAAAATCAAAAAAAAAAACGAGAGAGCAGAATGAATCTTCTGCCGAAACATGGAACCATACACCGCCATATGCTATGTCTTTTGTGCATTTGGTCAGTAGTGGAGCAGGCCCCACTGGACGTATTCGTAAGAAAACAAAAACAAAAAAACGAGAGAGCAGAATGAATCTTCTGCTGAAACATGGAACCATACACCGCCATATGCTATGTCTTTTGTGCATTTGGTGAGTAGTGGAGCAGGCCCCACTGGATGTATTCATAAGAAAACAAAAACAGAAAAACGAGAGAGCCACGGGCATCTTCATCCTAACCCATAACTGCCGACATGCGGACCTGAACGCCAATCTTCAGCATATATTGGTGGTCGGCTGGCAATGGAACATCCAATTTGCGACTTCTGCGAAGCTTCGCGGGGCATGTCGTTATTAGGCGACTACCCCTTCTTGCGAACTGACCCCACTACTGTATGCGATTTCCAGAAGGCAGCAGGAAGGACATCTCTCATACCCCGCCTAAAACAAAAGTTGGAATGAGCCCTATTTTGTGCCTCGCCATTCGAAACTTTTTGGGGAAGGGCCTGCGCAAATCGAATTTTCAGCAGCCCTTACCCAAAAGAAAAGTTCGGGCCGTGGGCGCGGCCGGTTTGTGAACTTGCGCGGTGAGTTTAACATTTTTGCCGAGTTGGGGGCCCTAAGAGATTAGAAAACCCCTAGTTTTTTTTCTTTTTTTTTTTGGACCTAACTTTTCAAGTGCGCTGCACTTCGGTGCGCTGTGCGGTGCGCGGCGCGACGTGCGCAAACCGGCGCACCGACGTGCGCTGCAACTATGGTTTTTTTTGGATGATCCGCTTTCCTCTTTTTTTTTTGTGCAGTCCACAGCAGAGTCGTTTCGCTGCTGCGCACAGGTGGGCTCTTCCTTGGTGATCAATTACGTGCAAATTTGGCCCCACACATTTTCTTTAATTGCTGATTCTCGTTCAACCGGGGCGGGGGGGGGCACAAAATTGTTCGTTGCGACTCACCAAGTAGGGAGAGGGATGAGGTGGCAGTACAAATGGATATGCAGAGGTGGAGTGGCACAAGAGGAGGGGTATGAAGGTGGAGGGGGGGAAGAAGGCCCATGAACAGAGAAGGGCGGGAGCCTAGGATCAGACAGCAAAGCCAAGAGGGCACAGCGCAGCAGAAGATGAAGCAGAGGAGGAGAATAAGACAGACGCGGAGAAGAAGAGGAGGCAGACGAGGGGAAGAAGAGAGCGGGTGTAAGAGAGAGAGAGCACTTCTGTGCCCTAAGGAATGCCACAATCAATCAATTGAGAATCTGAGATCAATCAATTAACAGGGGATCAACTAAGCAATCCAGCGGATGTAGACTGAGACAGAAACAGATGGAAAGGCAAGAGGGGAGGAGAAGAGGGAACTGTGAAGAGATGAGGGAGGGAGCGAGAAGCAGAGGAGGAGGCGGCAGAAGATGTGCAGAAGAGGAGGTGGACGACGAGGTGGAATAGTACCATGCAATCGACATGATTTGACACACCCCACATAGTACCACCTGGTCCACACCCAGGCCACATTATACCATCCAGCCAGCATGGTGTCACGTTGCCGTAGTACCGTCCTGCCCCGCATGGAACCACCCAGTCCACATCGTGCACCCGGACCCCTCCCACACACTCCACATTGCACCACCTGGCCCACTTAGCATCATCTGCGTATAACACCTTTGTCCTGCCCAGGCCACAGAGTACCGTACTGCAATGAATTTCAGTTGCTCACGTGGGCTGTACACTAAGTTTGTCTGCTGTTCCCCTGGTCTGAGCCCTGCAGAAATTGATCCCGTGACCTACAGTTTGTATGTGTTATTCACTAGCTTTGAGTCCTACCGGGCTTGACCCTTGAACCTGTCACTCCTAGTCTCAATTTAGCAGTCTTAGGCCCTTCAGCCTTGCTGTTTTGTCCTTTTCTGGTCTTCTGGAAATTGGTAGGCCCCTCGGTCTCCCTTGTGTGTGTCCTAGTCTTGGGTCCCCTTGCTATCTACTTCTCCGAACACAATACCCTAAGTACCTATGATAGTAACCACATCTGCGAGCATGTGATGTTTCAACATAGGTTCCCATCTAGATTCAGATAGGCAGATCTTGACTGTTTGGCCGTAGATGTGTGCTGTTTGGACGGTCAGAGAGGTTTGTAGGTGACTGCTGTGCTGTAGGTCTAGTGAAGTCGGGGGGAAGCAGGCAGAGGCCGACAAGTTTGGGGTTCTTTTCTCATTTTTTCAGAAGTGGCAATGGGAGTACGTGAGCGGCACTATTTCCAGTGCTCAGTCTTCTTCCTCTTCGAAGGGGAACTTGGGCAGCCGTAGCTGGGGCGCCCTGCTGTTTGCGCAGCCAGCACGTGTAGGAGGTCTTCCAGGTGCTGATGCCACTGCCATCACATTGCTGTTTGTGAAAGTTGAAGAACGCTGCTGTTCATCAAGCGGCTTGTTGCTGGTTGCTGCCATACCAGGGCAGCCATCATCTTCTTCATCGACGTTCACCTTCTTCTTCACGGTGGTTTGCGGCGCTGCGACTTGACATCTGGTGCATGCCAGATCAGCGCCGGTACTCACAGGCTCGGGGCATGATGGGATGCTGTTTTCAAAAGCGAGCTATCTTTGGAGGCTGGGAGTCATAGAGAGAAGGGGAAGTTTCACTAAAACTTCATTGCAGTGTATGGTTGGGGTTTAATTGGAGGTGGAACAGATTTTGTGGTTTAGATTCATGGAGTTGTTCGGTTGAGAGGAGAAGAGTTGGGGATGTCATCAATAATTGATTAGAACATTTTTTTCTCAATTTTTATATCCGGTTTTGGCGTCCGCTGTGCAATCCCTCCATGGCTATGGTGTGAATCTGCTCTCTCCAGTCTGCCTGTCATTGCAGATCTGTATGGGAACATTTGAATGCGGTTTTGAGTTGTGAATCAAACGAACACATAACAATCCATTCCACACAAGAGTACGTGTCGCGGCTTCGCTCGCAAACAGATGAAGGAGAGAGAAAAAAATGAGAAG